GACCTCAGAGCTGAAGTCAGGGAAGAACAGCCTTTTTCTGTGAATGTGCAACCTGCCAGCCTGTCAAAATGAAATTAGAAAGGAAATCACAACATTGTTTTCTACTACTCTCTTCTCGATAATAGCTATATAATTTATCCTGTGTGACAGCCGATTAGAGGGCGTAGAATGGAGTCTTCCATGTGCTGGTTTGCACTGGCAGCAGGTGAATATGTGTAGACAGGATGTCTAAAGTTTACACTCCCCTATTCTACCTATGGACTATGAAGCCCCTGAAGAGACCAGTGCAAAAAATGAAAATAAACATACTTTCACGTGCGCACAAGATGCTTTGGTAAGCGGACGCAAAAGTAGGATCATTTTCGTCCTCATGCAGCAGTAACCCAAATTAAACTAATATTATAATTCCACCTAAGTAAATGTGATTTATGAGAATCAAAATGATTCTGATCTAAGAAATTGTGAAGAGTCCAGCCCATGCACTGACGCTAGCAAATAATTTAACAATAATAAGTCAGAATAATAATGCACAATGTCCTCATTTCTGAAAATAATGATATGAAAAATAAGTTGAAATTTACACCTGCTTAGTGGGAATGAAATGGTGTGAGTGCAGCAGTTCCCTTGTGTGACTTGCCTTGCAATCGTTAATAAAAACACTATAATGTTAAAGTTTTGACACAGTTCATGCTTAGACAATTTGTATTCTCCATCAGCTGCATTATGGGTTGAGGCACTAAACGCATGTGAGGGTCTCAAAATATTTGAGGCCTAAATAAAAGACACCTAAACAGGAGCTTAACTCAAAGTAAATAAACTCCCCATGTGGCTTATCCTTCAGTCCTTCCCCTAGACTCTCCTGCTTTGTGTGTACATGTTGGGGGGCATTCAAGTTGTACTATCAAATACCCATAGTCTGTGGTTTAATTTGCGTTCCAAATATCTAACAAATACTAGTTTATTATTGCACCTGTCATATAGGACTGACCTGAGTATTTCCAGTGTACAGTATGGATTATGCAGTTCTGCAAAGAGCCACTTCACTCCAGAATCCTGCAGGTCATTGTCACTCAGGTCTAGCTCTCTCAGGTATGAGCAGTTTGATCTGAGAGCTAAAGCCAATGCTTCACAGCATGTCTCTGTGAGATTGCAGCTGTTCAGTCTGAAAAAGAACACATTTTAAGACACAGATACATACACAATCTACCGATAACACTACTGACACAAAACAAAAAGACAAGCATTTTTTTAGAATAATAAGCAGCACAGCTTAAATTTCAAAATGAATTACAGTGTGCAGTACATCCTGGGAGTTGTCTGCACATACCGGATGAGTCACATGACCTGATACCAAGCATTTACACCTTGTTGCTGTATTTTCAGCAGACATAAAGCCATAATACAGGTCACACCACTCAATACCTATAGTCCAGGGGTCGGCAACCCTAGGCACGCGTGCCACAACTGGCACGCGGAGGAATTTCGGGTGGCACGCTGACGATGATCACAATAGAGACCTGCACTCCCGCGGGA